CCAGTGCTAGCAATTTGCAAAGTTGTAAGATGAAGCATTTACTTGAATAAATAGCTTAAATTAAAGACCTCTTTCAGACTGAAAGATTGAACGAACTGATTAAGACACTAGGCTGGGCTCCAGATAATTAGGAACAGTAATCTTAGTAGTATAACTAGAACATGACTAAAAGAAACATTTCTTTGTAGATTTCATTTTATTTCGCCACAATAAAGCTTAAAATCAACTTTGCAAATTCCTTCATCCAGGTTGAATTCAGTATGGCAGATGAAGTACTCCTTTATTTAACAAAAAGACGTGAAACTCTCAAATAAAACTCTAGACGAAGAACTCTTCAAGAACTTTCAAGTTGAATTTAAATAACTGACGTACGAGAATCAGTTTAATATTCAAGGGGTAGTTTTTAAATAGATTTTAAATAAACATTTTTTTGCGGTCCCCCTTTAAGTGATCGTGGTATTCGGCGAAATAGTAAATATTTGCTGTTTGCGGATGCAATGAAAACATCGGACGCATTGATTGTCATGAAATGCAGCTTAATTGTGTGGATTACAAGCATTAACAGCCTGTTCGGTTAAATCGACCGGAAAATTCTCACCTTCAAGGAAACTGGAGCAAGGATTTAGCCCAATTAGCTCTGCGGCTAACTGCTAATTCCCAACTCACGTACACTACAAAAGTCACGGTCAGTCAATGAATACCAAAAGTTTTCAAACTAAATTAGCTACCATTAAAATTCTTTCTCTGAGACGTTTAACACACACGCTTACCCCCTTTGTAGATAATAGAGTATATATTAATTGTAGGTGTAATTAACTTTAAGTAAAATTTAGGCTGTTCTTATCGTACTGTTGTGATTGAACCCCAGCAATCACCAATCCTAAGAGGTGAGGCAAACTTTCCTTGGCATCACTGAATAATGATAAATTAAAGATAACGTTGTTCAATTTTGAACACACACTCGGAAAAAGCAAGAAACGCTTTTTACCGGGTAACCGGCAACACTTAGGGAATCCTGCTTTCTTTTTTTATTCTTCCAATTACTTTACTCAACACAACATACATTATCGATCATCAGTGATCATTTCAAAGTAGTCTTCGTTAATTGTTCTTTTTTTTTTCGATTCGCCCAGAATTCATTAGAGGAAACTAAACAAATGCATGGGTATAATTTCCCAGACGTGGCCGACTGCACATCCAGAGTGTTCATTATACTGTGGAAACACAGCCTTGACAACACTTTCCTGACAAGTCCCTCAACTGACATTGTCTTTGGGCGTAAACATCGTCCAGAAAACAGGAGTTTCACTTAAAAGCCTATCTTAAAAATAGCCCTCATCGTCAAACAACCATCATGATAATTGTGATTCAGTTGCGGCATTACAACGCCATATCGTGAATGAAGGCACAGTAGGTTTAATAAGACCATTTGCCCAAAGCAGTATCTCAGTTTAACAAGATTGGCTAGTAGTTCTTTTGTCATGCGTGTTGATTTTTCAGAGCAGCAATTTTGGTGTTTATTAGACCCTGGCTGTGGTAAAAAGTAGGATTACAGGATTTTTAATTACTTTTGTGATAATTATCTCGTTGTACAAAGCAATGGGGCAAGGGTTAATCCTTTTTCGCCGCGTAAATGCACGATTAATAGGCTCTTTAAATCGCACGCGAAAACTAGCTGTTCCCAATGGAGATGCTATCAATTAATCTTTGAATGGACGATATTTGCTATTTGAACCTTTACACAAATTGCTTTTAAGCCGTCTAGCTCAGTGTTGGTGTTAACGGAACAAAACAACTGAAATTGACGCGGATTTTTCTGAGAGCCAATCAAAACGCTTTCCCATTGTGTCAAGATATTTAGAACCGTCAGAACTGAGACATCAATGTAATTGATTGAAAAAGAATAATTATTTTGTGGAAGGAAGAAGACGCCTTCTCTTAGAAACACCTGCAATTTCAGGAGCGAGAGATTTGTCTTTAGTGAATATAATTTGCTAGTCATGTTTTCGTTTGGGATTGCTGTCGCGTGATTTTATCGAATTCAAACAAATTTTGTTCCTTTGATTTGCTCTTCGTTGTGATTTTGGCAGCTTTTTAGGTATTTTATTGGCTTGTGTCAACAAGATTTCTTGTCTTGATGCGTTTTTTGTTATTTGCATATTGGTCTTTTAGAATACATTTTTTATTCTTATTTTCCTTGCCTTTCAGGAAACTTCGCGAAACATCTCATGGCGGACGAGCCGTGTTCGTCGGCGATCCATTGGTTACCGGCCAAAAATTAATAAGAGAATAATACTTCCTCGTCAATGTCCCCCGCGGTGAAAATTGCTTACATTAGATTTGAAAACATTGCTACTAACTACGACAACATTATTATTCTCAAGTGGTTTAACCGACAGAACTGAGTAAAGCAATATTCATAAGCACGCGCTTCCTTGGAGTCGAATATTTCAAATTTTCAAAGGCCTCACCTACAATGGATCCTGATAAATTTTGCGATTTGAGCGACGAGTTTTTAAAGAAGAAGCTCTATGACTGTATGATGAGCTCGTTCCTCCCAGACAAGATATCGCCATCCCCTAGGGCACTGCTAAATGGTTATTTTGCGGAAATTGTAACGATTAACACGGCAGCGAGCCCAAAATATCTACGTTCGCCGCCACTTCAACACAGTCATCAACGCAAGTATCACAAACATTCAAAAGACTTCGCGTTGCACCACGTTCAAGAGCAATTCCTTGAGGATATTCCCGAGGAACAACCCGAACTGACGAGTGTCCTCGGAAACTGTCCGGATCACCAGAAAGAGAAATTGAAGTATTTCTGTGAGACATGCGATGAGCCGATTTGTCTTGATTGTACGTTTTCGGAGCATAGAAAACACAAGTTTTCGTATCTCAGAGACGTNAAAATTGCTTACATTAGATTTGAAAACATTGCTACTAACTACGACAACATTATTATTCTCAAGTGGTTTAACCGACAGAACTGAGTAAAGCAATATTCATAAGCACGCGCTTCCTTGGAGTCGAATATTTCAAATTTTCAAAGGCCTCACCTACAATGGATCCTGATAAATTTTGCGATTTGAGCGACGAGTTTTTAAAGAAGAAGCTCTATGACTGTATGATGAGCTCGTTCCTCCCAGACAAGATATCGCCATCCCCTAGGGCACTGCTAAATGGTTATTTTGCGGAAATTGTAACGATTAACACGGCAGCGAGCCCAAAATATCTACGTTCGCCGCCACTTCAACACAGTCATCAACGCAAGTATCACAAACATTCAAAAGACTTCGCGTTGCACCACGTTCAAGAGCAATTCCTTGAGGATATTCCCGAGGAACAACCCGAACTGACGAGTGTCCTCGGAAACTGTCCGGATCACCAGAAAGAGAAATTGAAGTATTTCTGTGAGACATGCGATGAGCCGATTTGTCTTGATTGTACGTTTTCGGAGCATAGAAAACACAAGTTTTCGTATCTCAGAGACGTTTATCACAAACAGAAGCACAGCATGGCTAGTTTGCTGGGACAGGGTAAAAACAAAATTGAAAACACGCGAAAATCTCTGAACGAAGTGAAGACTTTGTTGTGTAAACTTCAGGAAGAGCGTTATTCAATGGAAGAGAAAATTCGCGAAAATACTCAAACTTTAATGGCTACTCTTCAACAGCAAGAGGAAAAACTGTTGGATGAACTGAACAGCGCTTTTAGAACCAAAGAGAACTCACTTCGAAAAGAGAAGCAGCATTTTGAGTCAATTCTTGAACGATTAAGCGGTAGTTGCCAATACACAGAGAGGGCGGTCAAATTCGGCAACGAACTGGAGATCTTGGTCATTCAAAAGCACTTAAAAAGACGGCTAAACGAAGTTTCGAACACTCGAAAGGATTTCAAAGCGGCAAATTTGACAAACGTGTATTACTTCCCCGACCCGAACTCAAACGAGATTGCCCGAAAAGCCCTCGGTTACATTGTTGTTTCCGATACATGTTCGGAGTTATCAATAGCAAGTGGCGATGGACTGGTAAAAGGTCACGTGGGCGCAGCGGCTGAATTTGTTGTGACTGCCAAAGGTTTCGACGACCATCCTAAAACCCGAGGTGGCGATATGATAACTATCGATGTCCGAAGTCCTAATAAGGCAGCTGTTTCGTCGGAAGTCGTGGATAAGGGTGACGGAAGTTATGCAGTCGCTTTTACACCGAATTTAAACGGCGAGCACGAAGTGGGTATCGCAATTCACCGTCAACCCATAAAAGGAAGTCCGTTTAAGGTGATGGTCACCAATCCCCGAATTTATAGCAAAATAACTCGTCCAATTCTGTCCATTGGAAGCCTGGGAGAAGTTCGTGGGAAGTTTAAGCTTCCTTGTGGCGTTGCTGTCGATGGCGAGGGCAAGATTCTAGTAGCGGATTGTCACAATCATCGCGTACAGATATTTGATTCGCAAGGAAAGTTCGTCAAGAGCTTTGGAAACCTTGGAGAGAAAAACGGGCAGCTAAATAACCCGACTGATGTGGCAGTCGATAAACATGGAAACATTGTTATCTGTGACAAAGACAATCATCGAATTCAGCGATTCACGAAAGATGGCGTCTTTATCAACAAATTTGGTGGCTATGGTGAAAATCAAGGAAAGCTAAAACGCCCTTGGGGAGTTTCCCTTGGGAATAACGACGAAGTCATTGTCACCGACCGCCGCAATAGTAGGATACAGATATTTAAAGAGGATGGCAGTCTTTTGCGCGTGTTCGGTCGCCATGGAAACGCCCAAGGAGAGCTGGATCAGCCGTACCATGCTATCATGAATTCTAAGGGAGAAATTTTTGTCACAGACAGTAACAATCACGCAGTAAAAGTATTTGATCCCAACGGCAATTTTGTACGGGAACTCGGTAATGGGGAGACTAGCCAATCAATGCTAAAATATCCCACTGGTATTGCTTTTGACATGGACAATCACGTGATCGTATCGGATCAATATAACCACCGCATCCAGGTTTTTAACGAAGACGGGAGCCTGGAGGCAACGCTTGCATCTGGTCTTAACGGACTAGGACAGAAGTGCTATCCCAAAGGTGTGGCTATCACGCCGGGGGGTTTCATCGTTGTCGCAGACAGTGACAACCATCGAGTCATTATACTGTAATAAATGTCTGCAGAACGCCCGGAGTATCCTATTTATTCGATTAAACGCCGCTGTCGAATAAACGTCGCAAATGAGAGCAGAATCATCAATAAGCGCAGCCCTAACGAGAAATAATGCGGCGTTTGTTCGAAAATATCAGTTCCGTCTTTATAATCTACAATATCCAGGCAATTACGATTCTATCTCAGGAAGAAAGCTAGGGAGTTTTGACCATCTTTCTGTTTTGTAAAATATTTACAAATGATGAATTTTTCCTAATTGTTGTCAGTGATTTAAGAAATGCGATATTTATACAATCGCCGTCGTCGAGTAAACGTCGCCTTTGAAGAAGCGTCGCATCCCAAAGGCTAATTTCTTTTATAAAAAGCAGCGGTGTTTGATCGAATCAATAAGATAGGCTGAATGCGCGCAATTTAATTTCAAAATTACGCGAAAGAACAATACGCAAATTCAGTTTTGATATTCCTGAGATCCTGCAATAAGCTAGGGCCGGAATTCAAATCTATTTTTTCGTACGATATTGATCGAACATAAGATCTTAGAATCTTTAAGTAGAACTTTGATTTACCATGAATTAAAGAAGACCCCACCTGGTATCTATAATCCACTTTTTTAACTTTTAAACTGTCTCATAGTCCTAAATTAGAATATCGGTCACCAATCCGATTGATGCTAGATTCTTGCCGGTACATTGCAATGTCTGTAATACAAATCTTTATAAAATTATAATATATCTTTAATATATTTTGATAATCATATCTTATTAGGCTATTATTCATATATTAACGGGCATATTTTAGAAATATTATTACTATTATTATTATTGTACAGGAAGACGGTACTGTACATTTGTTTATGTGTTTACAAGAATATAAAAAGAGTCGATGTTTGTTTCGATGTAAAGTCAAAGCTCTTTAACCCTTCCACTGCCAAAGTGTTTGATGGAGTTTTGTAAGGTGACTCTAACTTTTGAGTCTGTGGACCAAATCCTATGATGTGACCATTGAAATGAAAGCTCTCTGCATGTACTTCCACATGGTGCTATTTGTTTTTCAAAATTTCACAAAATGAAATTTCGAAATTTGGTCGATATTTGCTTTTGGCTAATTTTGGCAGTGAAAGGGTTAAAGAAACCGAAAGATTGACTGTGATAGCTAATAGGTACCTTAATCCATTTAAGAGGTGTCCACCCTCTAGAGAGTCAGATCAAGAGGAATGACTTGAGAACATTATTGATATACACTAAGTTTCAATCCTAAGGATGAGTCCTTTTCTTAGTGGTGTTCTTGTAAAAAGGAGTGTTGGCTCTAGAGAAGATTGAAATATATTCACGCACGAGAAATGATAACGATGAAGTTCACAGGACACCCAAGATCGATTCTTCTGCGCTCCCTGTTTTTGTTGCAAACCGAGTTTTTTGTTTTGAGGTATTCGCAAAGGTTCTACGGGCAAAAATGTAGAATAAACTTAAACTGCCTGTAAACACGTTTATCGATTATTTTCTCTATGCAGTTTAATTTGGGCGTAAAATTAAAGGAAAGCAGCACAAAACGAGGCAGTCTCGGGAAGGATATTAATTTTTAGTATATCCAAGTATCCCAGGGGGAGGGACTCCCTGTAATGGCTCCGCCCAAAAGGGGTACCTTGTTAAGGTTTCAGGAATATGATCATGAAAGGGTATGGGTTTCACTAGTTTAAGTATATGAAAGGCTAAGGAAATCTGTCATTTCAATTTGTAAAAAGGCCCAAAAGGGCCAACAGATGTATCTTAAGGCTGTGAAAGAGACAAGAAAATGTTCTGGTTTTGTGATTGATTCATATTTAAAAGACTGTACATTTACAGCAGTTAAAAGAGATGCAAGAGTGAAGTTCTTAACTGGGTATGTGAAAGGAATACCATCTTTCAATAGAAGGTAAAAGAAAGGGGTGCCTTTTCTGTCAAAAATGGTATATACCGTATTTATTCGATTAACCGCCCTGAGCGCTTATTAAATTTTTGGACCTTGAGAGTGGGCGCTTATTCGAGGCTGGGCGCTTATTAAATTTTTACCATTATCAGCAAGTGAAGTATGTTTATTTTGCAACAAAACAATCAATGCTAATAACAAAACGCGAAGAAGTAACAAAGCAAGGTTTCTGTAAAATACTCTGAAGAAAACTCCGTCCTCGGGGAAGTCTCTTATTAGAATTTATTGACTGAAGTGGATGGGGTGGGGGTGAGCGCTTATTTGAGTTTGATTGGGAGGAGGACGGGTGGGCGCTTATTCGAGGCTGGGCGCTTATTAACTTTTTCTGCCTTTAGGATGGGCGCTTATTCGAGGTGGGCGCTTATTCGAGGTTTGGGGCTTATTCGAATAAATACGGTAAAAGGGTAAGTCGCTGGACCGACCTTCGGGTGGAGCCCCCTGCATACAACTCTCTTGACTATCCCTCACCTCCCAGGCAAGTATCACCTTCAGCTGCCAGAAACAAACCCCATAAATGCAATATTACGAGAGTCTCTGTGTATGGGGTGTCGTTGCTTGAAAACTGGATCTTTACCACTTTTATCTTTTTTTGTTAAAAACCAAAAATATTCGGTTGAAAAGGCGAATAATGGTTCTGGCTCGCAATAGTCGCAACATTTGTCGAAGGTCGATGTTGCAGACAGTTTGGAACTTCCTAAAAAGTTGCAATGAGATGTAACGCTTATGCGTTAAGGAGTTTTTTTGGCACAGCATTCAGACGCTGTACAAACTGAGATAAACGTCAGCTCTATTTACGTCGATCGGTAACTCGTAACAGCACATCAGAATGACAAACTTGAGGCCGGACGGAGCGTTCATTCCCCCCCCCCTACATCAATACTTCTATTTATTTTTATCTAAAGCTTAAGGCTATACGAGGAAAGAAGTCGCCGAAACAAGGATCTGAGGTCAGAACTGGGAATCGAACTCGGAACCTTCCGCACAGACGACCGCGCACTAACCGACTTTGCTAAACGTATTTTCATACAAAGGATCAGCACCAGGACCTGTTTAGAAAACGAGGCCATAGGTAATAGCCCTCATTCCTGCGTACCCCAGACGATCAAAGTTCACCACCAAGACTCGTTCTGGCTGATTGTGAAGTTGCGAAGTGAATTTCCAAGGCAGTATGGTTGAAAAAAGAGTGCAAAAGCGAATAATTTTGCTTACACTCAATTTAGCGTTGAAATTTGCTCCTCTGACATAGTCACGCACTAGGGCCTCTAATCAAAATGTGACTATGTCAAATCACAAAATTAGACACTGAATTCAATGAAACATTCTTTCATTTTAATATTCCACTTTCTATATACAATAATATCATATTAAAAAACTATGACTTAACTTACTAAACTAGCGATCTAGTGTTGAAAAAAATTAAGCTGAAACAAACGCACATAAAACATTTAGCTATTTACATATGTACAACAAATGGACTTGCAGCTTCTCGTCTGCTGCATGGGTCTCGTTGTTTTAAGACATGAAGTTCATAACTGATCAATTCAACCGCGCTCTGTTTCACTTCGGAAGACGCAAAACGCGGCGGAACCAACGCACAAAACAAGATGACTTATTGTTGTTCTGCAAATGAATAAAAAATGAGAGATATTGTATAACAGTGCTGATATCTTCTAGGTAAATACTGGCGTAGTTAAGCAACACTAAAACGCAGAGGTTACGCAGGAGTCGGGGCGTTTGAAGCGTTAGCCTACAGGCTTTATGTGCCTCATCGTTTTGTACCCGATCCTTCCCTTTCTCTTTTCAACGTTTGCCCAGTGTCCACCCGGTTTTCTTTTCAGTCTCTCCCTAATCCCCACCCATTATATTTTCACTCTTTTCCCAACGTCCCTCTTTTTATTTTGTGTGTTAATTCCTAGAATCCACCCGTTTTATTTTTACTAGTTCTCCAACCTCTGCGAGTTTATTTTTTTTACACTTTGCCAGGCCTCTCGGTGTGTTTTTACTTTTACTTTTCGCCACCTCAGCAAGTTTTGTTCTCTTTCATTCCCCTGACTTTCGCCTTTTTTTCGCCCCACGGAAGGGAATCTGTAAAACGTACTCAGTGTATTAATACAGCTTTCACTGTCAATCTATGACATTGTCTCCCATTAACATTTACCTTCTTCTTTGGCAACTTTCGTCCAGCACTCCTTCCAAAGCCAGAGGATATATTTGCGATAAAGCTATTAAATCTGCGGCCAAGTTTGAGAACATTCAATCTTCCTGACTTAGATTTGCAGTTGTCAGTTTCAGAGTCTCGGTTTGCTGATTGGCACGTGTCACTTTCAGGTGTAGCGACGTCTTTGGCCGATTCCTCTTCAAAGTCGTCTATGGACTAGAAAAAGTCAAATACGCGTTGTGCTTAAATTAGATTTATCTTGAAAATGTCTGAACACAATTAAGGAAGCAGTACTTCTTAATCTTTTTAGTTTTAAGTTATATTTTTCTTCTAGGCGTAGAAATAAATATTAGAACGTAAAAAATTCCTCTCAACTTTTGGTGTGTACCGCTGATCAGTGCTAAACGACATCCACCGTTTTTACATTCCCCATAAACACGCTGTTTAAACGAGTTCTTACTGGGGTCAAATCCATGCACAATAACAAAAGCTATTTGCAACCTAAAAAGGGAAATGTTTGTTATCATTAGGTATTGGTCCAAGTTGCTTTATTTTTGAAGATGAAAGCCAGTATAGCGTGACTGTTCGCAACAACGAAACTCAGTTGTTTTAATCAGGACTGCTCATCAAGTACTTTTCCACGATGGGATCACTAATTATGCAGGTGTTAGCTTTAAAGTATGGGAACGAAACCGTGTGGTGCGGCTGTCGCACGAAACCTTTTCAGGGGCTCTTTTTACAGGCTGTGCAGTGGTCCTATATCTACTTTAAGTCTGACAATGAGATCCTGTGGTCTGCTGTCTTAAAAATACTCCCTTTTACATTATCTTTCTTTCAGACAGAAAAAGGTATTAGGATTTTTTGGGAACGTTTTTTGGTAAAGGTAGCCAAGGGCGAAAGCGGGTTAACCGATTGAGTTAAGTCTTAACTCACCTTTTCGTCTTCATCAATAGTCTCCTCATCGTCAAAGAAGTCATCATCTTCATAATCATAACCATCTCCTTCAGCTTCATGATCTCTCTCTTGTGGTCCCTCTTCTTTATAGAGAGTGGGGTCCTCGCCTTGAAGAGCTCTCTCCAAATCCTCCTCTAATTTCCAGAAAGGAAAGATGACCATCTTGTCATAGTCAACCTTGTAAAAATGCTCCAACCAGTAAATATCGAGATCAACATCCTCGAAGCTCACGGCTTCCAGAAACTAGAGAAGCCAATAAAGGCGGAAAAGGAGGGAAGCTCGGACATAGTGAAGCCGCAGTATAGATTAAAGGCTGTATAGAGAAGAAAATGAAGATTATTTCTCTGTCAACCGCCGTGTTTCTTGATCGAGTTTGGCTTCTAATTCAAGATTTTTGTTTTCCATGATTTGGGATTCGTTTCGCAGGTTTTCATTTTGTGAAATCATTTTATAAATGTGCTCTTTCACTGCGGATGACTGTTTTAAAATAGAAGCGTTTAGGATCTTCTGTTCTGCGATTTCCTCGTCTATTGTGAAACGTGTCGAACGCAAATTCTGGATGTTATTAAGAACCGTGCTCCTTTCCTGCAAAGAATAATAATAATAACGATCTATTATTGAGTGGTTACGATTTTACCCTAACAGACAAAAAATTCCTTTCGTATAGTGTCACAACACCCAAACTTCTTGCATAACTTATCTGACCTACGCATAGTTATACGTACACTCGCCACAAAAACAAAGAAAATAGGCCAAAAAAAATCCCGCCCAAAAATCGAGAAGGTTATTTTCTTATTTCATCACTAAAGATACAAAGTTCATTCCAAGTTTAGAACCAAGATTTAGTGGACACCTTTAAGTTCAAATGGGTAACTACCGCTTCTTGCTTAGCGCGCGAATCAACTTTGGGCGGAGCCTTCTCACAGCGCTGAGCTCGCTGTAAGAGATACGTATTAGTGGACTTATAATCATGAAGTGGAACGTTCCATACTCTGGAGCGGGATGCCTACTGAAATGACACTTGAAATTGCCAGTTCGCAACGGTTGCCTGCCAGTTGCCTGCCTATCAGATCAGTGATTAAACTTAGCCTGAGTGCAGGGATCAGTAGTTCAAAGAAAAAATCACAGCTCAGGCAAAAATGGTGACTGTGTTCAACGTCATTAAAAGAAATGAATCTCGGTTTATTTAGAAAATGTAGACGAATTTTTCAAGAGCTGAATTCTTAGCTGAGGACTGTGTTTAAGGTCAAGCGCGAAAAGAGAAAGTACAATTCGTCATCGCGTGTTCACGTCCTCTATGAAACGCGGTTTTTGGGAAATTTCACGTCGTGCAGTGAACGTCGAAGAAATGTGCAAACTGCAGTGGTGTTGTTTTTCTCATATGAAACCACTTATTTTTCTGACGTTCGCAGTGGTTGCCTATACTCCTTTTCAAGTGGGTACGAGGGGTACCTCTAATTGAGTGTTGAATTATTGTACAGCCTTCGCGTGGCTGTCGCCCTAGTACTGCTTAGATCAGGATGAAACGAGCGGACTGAGTGGCGATAAAATAGGTAAAAGAAGTTAGGGTAATCAAGTAATACAAAGTAGAAAAGAGTTTATTGATTCTGTTACGGTGTTTGTAATGAGCACCGAACAGAAGGATAACTGTCTTAGATAATTTCGGAATTTTGATTTTATAGAGCATATTTTAAGACCTTCCACCATACCTGAACATTATTTCTTTCCTCCGGAACTTCAGAAAACCAGTTGACAGGTGGACCTTCGAAGCCTATCTGCGCATGCTCACTTTGAGTCCTTTCACTTCCGGGTGAATAATAATCTAGTGGAATTTCCTGCATGTACCATGAGTTATTCTTCTCAGGCCATGCCTCGGTTGGAAAGCGAGGCTTGTAGCTGTTTATTGGCTGTTGCATTTCTTGTTCTGTGAAATCATCGAAGTCATCTTGAGACATTTTTTCACTGAGGGTTCCAAACAATTGATAGGAACCTGCATCGTAGTCTTGCGATAGCTGCAATGGCTCACCGTTGTCAAACGAGTCGTACCACATGGCTGGAAAAATTAAAAACAAATTATTATTATTATTGCTCAAGGTAGAGCACTTGGTCGACTAGTTCTATTTCGAATTCTAATATTCAGAAGTAAACCTAAAACAACTACCTATAATTAACTCCTTTTCTTACTTTTCAGCTAAGCAGTGGAATGCAGTGCCGGAATTTTTTCGTAACAGTTTTTTTTTGCAGACTTTAAGACCAAAATACAGGATGTTACCTTCATGTAGATTCTTTTTGCCTGGCGTACTTAAACTTAAAATTGTGAATAATATTTTCTTTTTTTTATGAGCTTATTATTATTAATATTATTTTATTATTATTTTTTATAATGTATTTAATGTATATATATATATATTTTCTATATTATTTTTATGTAGTGTCAGCTCGAAGATGTTAGCTTGTTCGCTACTCTAAAATTCGAGCATAAGTAAAGTTTCAGTCAGTTTTAGTTGCAATTTAGATTTTAGTTTCCTCCTTTTGGAGTGCTTTTTCGAGTGTTCGAAAAAAAAACCACACACCCACAAAGCAAACTACAATTACGTGGAAAGTTTTGCATGCTTGAATTTTGTTTTAACAAGCTATGACGTGAATCGAAATTAACTTATGCGACGATTAATGTAAAAACTGGAAACACGAAAATGGCTTTTTATTACCAACTCGAGGTGTGGCCCTAAATATTTCTACTGTGCGCTGGGTGTCGCTGGGCAGGAAACAGGGACACAGATGAAATAATTATCATTTAATCAACAGCAAACACTAAAATATACATGAATTTAGCTGCGCGTAATTTGTATGAATGACGAAAGTATTTAATGACCACTTTTCTTACGAGAGCTGATGGTGCTCTGGCTCGTGCTTCACGACCGCCTAATCATCAATCAACTTACTGAAAACGCATTTTCACAATGAACAACTGGGCTATATTAAATAAATGTCAATTAGATCAATTAGTTCAGTTCTTTATGCCTTCAAGGACTTTAATTAGGAAGGTAAATCAAGTTGACTTTCAAAGTATGTCACTAGCTTTCTAACGGATCAATAAGCCATAACTATATCGCTATCAAATTTTTCAGCTTACCTTAATTTAACTGTTCACAAACTTGGCTTTTAAAGGCTGATTTCACTGACTTTGAAACTGTCAATCACTTTTCTTCGCAGAATTGACAGCAAAACCAAGCACAGTACCGAACGATTATAACTGTAAACAAATCTCCGTGCTTGTAAATATAACTGGATTACACCGTGAACTAAAACCTCGCCGCATCAAATACTTCTCTGACTGGTTTGTTTACACCTTCTTCTTATTATTATTTCCATAGTTACACGTTTTTGAGGTCACAGCGCGCGCTCTTTCAAAATGCATGCGCGCGTGCCTTCAGCCCTTTTTTTAAACTTTTTTAACTCAAGTAATGAAAGAACTAAGTGTAAAACGTAGAGTAAGCTTATGAAAATGAAAACATGTGGCTCTGCGGAAAGAAATAATAATATTTTCACAAACGCGGACAAATGTCTCAATGAACGCTCAAATTATGCTGTCTGAAAGCCAAAGAAAATGCTTAAAGTAATGTAAAAGGATACGTTCGTCAACGACTGATGAAAGATCTTCAGTACACTTCATGGTCAGCCACAGCATCGCGTCGACGATTCCGTTTTGACATATAATATGAATTGTAGTCGAGACACATCCAAAACGTTTCTTCAAGATATATTCTTTTCCGTTTAACAATTTGTCTACAGAAAACGATCTGGTATATATACTTAAATCGACTTCGACTTTTTTCAAGCTGAAATCAATTGGCGTAGAGTCCATTTTCGTCATTTAATTCGTCAATGCTTTTCGCGATTTGCGCGCGCATAATTAGAAAGTCAGCTGACACTCACTTTGGAGAACTGGCCCCAGTTGTTCAAAACGCTATCCACTGGATAAATCTCTATCCAGTCGATAACGCAATTGGTTTCCCCACTACTTATCCTCTGGCTGGTGATTCACCCGGTGGATAGTGCTATCCAACAGTTGAACAACTGGGGCCCGAAGGCTATATCCTGTCATCTAGAGACTGGTGCTCAGATATCGAAAAAGTACATTTTATAGCTTTGTCAGGTCGTTGACTAGTTGACTTGCGTGTGTTCCTTTTCCCGCCCTCCCCGCCGCGAAAAAAGTCCCATAACGAGGGGGACATGGGGGTTTACGGTATCGCGGTATTAGGCTTTTTTTCGTACGGTATTTCGGTAATTTTAATTTTAACGTGCGGTATTGCGGTATCATCTAGCTCTGCGGTATGCGGTTTTTCATCATTTTGGCTGACGGTATTCGGTGAAATAAGATTGTTCACGGTATTACGGTACCGTTTATTTGCGCTTTCTTTTCGATACAATACGCAAAGCAAAACACAGTACGACATAAAGGTCAATAAAAGTTAATATTTTGAAGTCTTGAGACATAACGGTAAATGATTAAACCATTGTGGGTCATTTTGTGACAGTTAATGGTCGATAATATACAATGTGATTATAGTTGCATCCAATGATAATGAGTCATCTCAAGTTACCTTACCAGGCTTTTCGATCTGTGTACGTGTGCCAGTCTGCTACTCAGCCGTTTTTAGTGTCGTCACGCAACGCTCCTCCCCACTGGGGAGACAGTCGAGATAGTTGACCCCTGAGATACTGACATGCTAGACTATAGACTCATCCAAACTCGCACTAGACGTGCGTGGAAAGGGTTTTGGTCGGTTTGTTTGTTTGTTTGTTTGTTT